GGTGCCACTTTCTCCAGTTTAGGCCAGAGGACAGAGAGTCTTGGGTTACAGATCTCACCTCAGGGGATACAGCCCCTGAAGTCCACGGCCCTTCACCACCATTTAAGAGAAAAAAACAGAAGCAAAAACCCTCCCGTTTTAAGTGTGCAATTAGGGGGATGTGGGCACTTTAGACACAGAACCACCTTGGCGCTGGCTCCTGGTTTTCATCAGCCACTGAGTCTCGGCAGCCAGGGCACCTGATTCCAGACACGGCACCGAAAGCAAAGTCCCCGGGACTGTGTTTACACAGTGCTTTCTGGGGGGAAAATAATCCCTCGAATGGAGCTTTCAATGTAACTTAAGGCCGACAGAAAAGTCAGCTCCTCAAGAGGGAAAGCTGCAGACAGCATCAGGGGACACGCAACCACTCGCGAGTCGGCCTCGCCGACGGCGGCCAACACAGGCTTTACTGCGTGTCCACCCTGCGCCCTCAGGCCGAGGCTCGGCCTGGAGCCTCCCGCACCGTGAGCGTCTTACTCTGGGCCCTCTGTCCCACACGTTTTGCATAGGTGGCTCCTGGCGGTTTTCACGTGTGCATGTGAGCTGATCTGCCGGGAAGCTCTGATGAGAGACTGAGCTGAGGACTCGGTTTCCCCGTCTCCAGAGGCGGCCGTGGGCGTCGGAAAGCGGACCATGGACCATACCCGAGGCGGCACTTCCTCCAGAACCCACAGCCCGTGTCCCTCCTGCACTGCTCACCTGTCCTCAGCAAAACGTGGACAGTGGGCACACAGGTGGCCGGAGGAGGGGTGGGGTAGGGGGAGAGGTCCAGGAAGGTCACACCACGTGCGACTGTATGAGTAACGGGCAAGTAGCTCTGAAGACCGATCGTCCAAGGATGCAGCCTGGGGTCATTCAAGCCCCGATTCCCCCCACAAAAAAATTCCAGAGATTTCTTACGAATTCCTTGGTCTGAAATCAACTCCAGAAGCACGGTGTGGGGAAAAAAAATCTACTGGGCTGAGCATTAAATTATCTATATTCTTGGCTCTGCACCCCACGAGCTGTGTGACTCTGGCTAAGTGTCTCACCTTCTCTGAGACAGTTTCCCAACTTACACAGGGAGGAGACTCACTAAGATTCCTTACAGAGTTCACCGTGTGCAGCTTCTTTCTTTCTCAGCAATTAATATGAACAGAAAATGTATTATTTTAAGTTCGATTTACAGCTAAACCTGTGGGGAAAGGGACAACCTAGTCTTGTATGAAATGGGTCCCTGGGATCCTGTGGGCTGCAAGGACACTTCCAGGGGTCACAGCCAAGGTACAGGTCCCGGCCTCCCCGCCGCTTATCATCGATCCCTTGAACGTGAAGACAGGTACCTCCGCGGGCGCCTCTGAAGGGGTAGAAGAAGGCGACAAGCAGGTTCATGAGCACGGCCAGGTTGAAGGAGATGCTGCTCCAGAAGGACATGTTGCGGGCACACCAGTACAGCACGGGCTGGGCTGGAAGAGAGAAGCACGTGAGGGTGAGGGTGCGGGCGGGCGGCCAGCAGGGCCCAGCCCTCCCACCCCTGCTCAGCCCGACAGGGCACCCTTGTTCCCAGTTCCCACCAAAACAGTGAAAACAATCATGTGTTTTGAAGGTGACTCACAGGCTCATAGGACCTCGGATTGGCTGATTTCTGCTGGGAGCACTTACTGGAACAGAGGATGTATTTGGGGACAAGGGAGAGGGGAAGGGGAGGGAAGCTGGAGCATGGAGAACCCTGCATGTCCCGGTCAACACCCTCGGCTATGGAATCGGGGGGTATCCAGAGTTCACACTGAGTCCTTAGTTCCCCCAGGGCTCTGGGACCAGCTGAGATGCCCAGAGTGACCCAAGAGTTCAATGACCCTTTGAGAAGTGTGGGGCACGGGTGGGGGACAGTCGGCACTCAGAGTTGGCCCAGCTGGCCCCAGACAGGAACTGTTGCCATTTCTACAAACCTCCCCTCCTCAAAATGTGGAAACTCCAGAGGAGAGAAGAGATGGATGGCAGGAGTGGCAAAGGGCTGGTCATCACTGAAGCAGAGTGGTGGCTGCATGGGGTTTACAATCTCCTTTCCACACTGGCCCATGTGTGAAAAGCTCACGAGAAGAAGTGAAAAGAGAAAAAGAAAGGAAATGGCCAAGCTCGGACATGGTCTGTGTGAGCCAGCACTGTCTTTGGAGGGAGGGCTCCACCGCAAATGAGACGCCACCACTGGCGTCTAGTAGCCGGCCTTCCTCTACGGCAGAAAGGCCAAAAGCCTTAAATTGTAGTGTTACTTTCACTATGAACAAACATTCGATCCTTCAAATCCGCTGGGCGTCTATCCAGGTGCAAGGAGACACTTGGAGACCAGCGTGGGTGGGACTGTCTTCTATCTCCTGTGGCACGTGGGACCATGTCCTAACCTATCAGACCCGCCCCCTACATCCCTTCCCCACGTACCCTGCCTGGCACCCTGGCCTAGTGCTGGTTCCCTGAACAGCCTCTTCCTCAGTCATTTCCTCTGAGGAAACCAACCGCCATGTCGTGAGGATGCTCAAGTAGCCCCGTGGAGGCCCACGTGCCACCAGCCATGTGAGGGAGCAAAGAAGTGGGTCCTCACGAAAAGGTAGAGAAAGCGCCTCTGAGACCAACTACAGGAGAGAGAAGCTACTTGGGGAAAATGTATCTCATCTCAGTCACTCTTCTAATGAGCACATTTCTCCCTCTGCGCAACATGCAAATCATGTTTAACTCCGTTACTCTCTTCTCTTCCCAGCAGACAGCTTTGAAGCCAATTAAAATCTTTCCGTTGACAACTCTGGCTGCATTTAAGCTTCACTGAAACGAAAGCTGTTTTTGAAACAAAGACTCAGTAAGGCGTTAGCTACATGGGCTATCCATCTTGGAATGACAAGGCCAGTCTGCAATCAATAATCAATCAATATCAATCAATCAGGTGGTCTTCACCTCCCTCTGCAGGGGAGGGTCTGAAAGCAGTTAAGTCACCTGTCTGGGGCCACACAGCCAGTGGGTGGCAGGTGGAGAATGGAAATCAGACCCCACCTCAGGGCTGAGGCTCCTGCTACGTCAGGGTGAAGACTGCACCTCAGAGAGAAGGTGATGAGAGAGGGGAACAAACACCCTTCTGCCAGTTCACCAGCCTCTTGGCGAGCCCACAATACAAAATAATTTGATAACATAATTCTGAGAGAGCGGACCCTCCCCTGATAAGGGTGAAACCAGTTTCAATGGCTCCTGCGCAGGTCTCGTCCCTCGGATTCAGGGTCATCTCCTAAAGCCGGACTCATGAGACAGCCAGCAAGGACAGAAGCCGGTGACAGCGCTGCCCGCAGAGTGACACTGGCGTCTAAAACCCAAGCTGCCCCGCGAGCGGGAAGAGCAGCGTCCTCCGGGCAGGTGTGCTGGCCCATGGCAGGCAGGGCACTGTCCCGGGAGCTGGAGGCCCGGTTCCAGCCAGGTACCAACGGCCTCCCGAAAGCGCCCGTGGAGCCCTCCTGTCAGCTCGGTGCAACGCCGCAGGCGGGGAGCCCGCTCGAGGTGTGGCCCTCAGGCCACCGCCTGCTCACCAGCACAAATGGGGCGGTGGGCCTGCTTGGCGCCCGGAGGTGGGAAGCGTCACGAACCACACCGGCTCTGCTCCCACGTGGAGCCCCCACGCTCCCTCCCTGGAGCTCGTGCGGGCACTGCGCACCCACCTCGGAGCTTCTTCTGCCAGTTCATCTCGTTGAAGAGGTCCTCGGAGCGCAGGAAGAAGTCGTTGATCTTGCTTCCCTGCTCGTCCCGCTCTGTGGTGTAGTAGATGCGCAGCTTGGACTCCTTGGTCAGGAACTCGCATATGCTGGGCACGGGGAAGACGATCTGCTCCATGGTCCGGTCCAGCCTGACAATCTAGGGTGAGAGCGGATGAGCGTCAGCAGTCGCCTTCAGGAACCTTCCCGGAGGACCCCGGCCACGGAGTGTCGCACGGATCTTTCCCCGGCGTCGCTGGCCGTGTGACCTCCAGACGGGGTTCTGTCTCGCGGACTCACATCCACCAGCCTGGGAGAGTCTGTGCAAGTACTTCTCTGACCTCAGGCCACATTTTACTAACTTATCGGAGCAACTTAAATGGTCTTTGTGCACACAGCCAGATGCGGCCCAGGCAGGGACTGTCCACGAGAACGTCCTGCAACGGCGGCACTGTTCCGTGTCTGCATGCCTGCCCCATCCACAAGCAGGGCCACAAGTCCCCGCGGCCACCGAGCACCAGCACACGTGGCTAGTGCAACTGCAGGACTGAGCAGTTTTACTGCACCTGGATGTGAGCAGCCACACCTGGCCAGTGACTATCATGAATGGCCCGGCCTGGCCCGTGGTGCCCACCCCACCTATCGTCCTCAGGTAGCAAATGTGGAGTATTTCCCTAGAGAGGAACTTGAAAGAGCAATCTTGGTTTCTTGGGTTGCAGTGACGCCCTACCTCTTGTCACAGCATCTGAAATGTATGAGGCAGGAACTGGTGGGCCTGGTTAGCGCTGGGGCGGCCTGGTTAACGCTGCGGCGGCCTGGTTAATGCTGGGGCGGCCTGGTTAAAGCTGGGGCGNCACGTGGCTAGTGCAACTGCAGGACTGAGCAGTTTTACTGCACCTGGATGTGAGCAGCCACACCTGGCCAGTGACTATCATGAATGGCCCGGCCTGGCCCGTGGTGCCCACCCCACCTATCGTCCTCAGGTAGCAAATGTGGAGTATTTCCCTAGAGAGGAACTTGAAAGAGCAATCTTGGTTTCTTGGGTTGCAGTGACGCCCTACCTCTTGTCACAGCATCTGAAATGTATGAGGCAGGAACTGGTGGGCCTGGTTAGCGCTGGGGCGGCCTGGTTAACGCTGCGGCGGCCTGGTTAATGCTGGGGCGCCCTGGTTAAAGCTGGGGCAGCCTGGTTAATGCTAGGGCAGCCTGGTTAACGCTGCGGCGGCCTGGTTAATGCTGGGGCGGCCTGGTTAATGCTGGGGCGGCCTGGTTAAAGCTGGGGCANTGAAATGTATGAGGCAGGAACTGGTGGGCCTGGTTAGCGCTGGGGCGGCCTGGTTAACGCTGCGGCGGCCTGGTTAATGCTGGGGCGCCCTGGTTAAAGCTGGGGCAGCCTGGTTAGCGCTGCGGCGGCCTGGTTAACGCTGCGGCGGCCTGGTTAATGCTGGGGCGGCCTGGTTAAAGCTGGGGCGGCCTGGTTAATGCTGGGGCGGCCTGGTTAGCGCTGGGGCAGCACTCGCTGTGCCTTTGACTCGCTTTGCTCGGCCTCAGGGTGGACACCTCGAGCCTAGACTGGCTCAACCCCAGAGAGGAGGTAGTATGGTCGGGACTGTTCAAACTCTAAGACCGTGTGTTGAGTCACAGTCCTGGGGGGAGAGATTTCACAAGGGACCCGAGGTGCGGTACGATAGGGGTGTGGCCTAGCTACTGATCCTCTCCAGAGCCTGGACGCGTCAGGTGACTCCCGGGCCACACCCTCTACAGGAAGGCCTGGTTCTCTCGCTCCCTAATGTGGCCGGGTCACATTGTTGGTCCCGTTGTCATGGGAAACGCTCCAGGTCAGGCAGGTTCCCTGGCTCCGCAGGTTCTGGGAGACATGGTCCTCCGACCACTGGTTCCCAAATCCGGGTGGAGATCAGGTTCCAGAAGCTTCGCTATCACACTGCTTGGTCTCTAAGCTGACCTCACTGAACTGGAGTTGTAGTGTGGGGTTGGTGGCTAGAGCCTGCCCTCGAGCCAGCTCCCCAGGTGATGCTGGAGTCACAGGGCTCAGGGACCAAGTCTGCAGCCTCCTGCTGCAGTTTGGTGGGTGCTGGACTCGCCCCTCTTCACACCAAAAGACTATGGTCTCAGAGGTGCATCTGGGCTCAGGAGGTGATGGTGGAGGAGACAGGAGGCCCCCCGGCAGGAACTGAGTCCTAGTCTCCAGGGCTCCCCGGCCCCAGGGCCTGCGGGGAAAACCCCCGTGGTGTGTCTCTGGCTGTGCAGAGATTATACCCTTGGGAAACAGAGAGATGGGTAGCTGGCCAAAGGCAGGACTGGAGAGCTAGGGACACCAGGCCCAGCCATTTCCCTTTAGCATTTAAGACCTAGCCACACCTCTTTTTTGGCAGTCTTACAATGGGGAGCCAGGAGAACACATCCCAGTCCTTTGCCCACCCCTCATGGCTGGGCCACCCTGTCCACACCTCTTACCCTGACCCAGCCTCGGTGTCTGCCCAGTGGGCCCAGGCTCTCAGGGACTTGGTCCCGCTCTCCCCTGGCACATGACCCTGCAAACACTTCCAGCCTGCACTGTGAGGGCTCAGAGGGCAGAGCTGGCCCTCCCGGTGATCTTCTAGTCACTAACAATAAGTTAAGGGCATTGCTCGCATCACTGTCACGGTCACTGAGTGAGCCACATGATGCATTTTCTTAGGACAAAGACTTGAGATACGGGTAAGAATATATTCTTAAAAGTCTGCATCCTGAATATTTTATGTGGCTCAAAGGAGCCATCAGCCCTTCAACATCTGCTCCAACGGTGACACAGAATTAGCGCAATCCCTCCTCAGCTGTCTCCCCTCACTGCCTGGAGCTCGACGAGTCTGCTCTCCCAGCTCTGAGACTAAAGTGCACGGAGGTCCTGGGGTTGGCAGGGCCTGGGTTACAGTTCCAGCCCTGACCATGGGGACCCGACAGGCGACGCGACCTCTCTGCGGAGTGGAGATGAGCCCATCTGGCTCAGGGAGCACGGGGCGGTCCGTTGAGTGTGCCTGTCTAACGCAGGTGTGGTCATCACTCCTCTGTGCAAAACCATCCAGAGATCCCCACTGTTCTCGGGGTACAGTCCACACTTCCTGGGGATGCTGACAGGACTTCGGGAGCTGGACTCCTGTCCTTCCCTCTGACCGGTGGCCCCCTCCCTCCGGCTCACTGAGCTCCAGTCCTCACCCTCGCCTAGCATGTCCCAGTGGGCACTGCCCTGGCCACCACGCCCCGTCCAAAACCGTCTTTCTTCTGGTCTCTGCCTGTGTCAGCCTCATTTCCCTTAGGGTCTGGGCTGGGGTGTTATTTCTTCGGAAGGAGCCTCCCGACTGCAGTGTACAGGGGTCCCCTCTGCTGGACCTGCTTATAATACCTCCTGCTCGTCCCCTGGCCTGGCTGGAACTTGCAGTGACTGCCACACCCTCCTGTGGGTCTGCTCAGTGTGTCCCCCCCCCCCAGGACCCCAGCAGGGATCGGGACGCCTAGGCCCTAAGCCAGGCCTTCAGCCCTGAGTGTGGGGCCCGGCGCTCAGCGGGGGCTGGGACCCCTGGCCCCTGCTTTACCTCGATCTGGGCCGTGTGCTTGGCGTAGAACTCCAGCGCTTCGTCTCCATCCACCTGGCCCCCCGGCTTCAGCATGCTCTGCAGCTCCTTGTTGTGCCGAGCCAGCTGGAACACAGGACAGAGAACGGGCGATGTCCTCATGCGATGGGACACACGCTCCCTCCCAACTTTGGGTGTGAAGAGTATACTGTGACCGGGACGGCTGTGGGGCGGAGGCCAGCCGCCTCCTCCAAGGTGTGCTCTGCTCGGCGGCTATTTTGGGAGCTGGCAGAACAGCACGGAAAGCGTGTGCCCACGCGAGGCCCCGCTTCCCAGGCCTCTTCATCCAGGCAGCGGGGAGATGGGGATTCTGCACAGCCCCGGGCCTCCCCCAGGTTCAGACGCAGGAGACCGCGTTTCTGCTGCCGGCCTGCAGTGCGAGGGCCTGGCCACCTCCGGCCCTACGCCGTCACCTTTATATCTAATTCCTGCACCTACGGGGGGGGAAGGGGACAGGAAACACAGGCCCTCGGCACAGCCACAGGCTGCCACACACACCTGCAGAGAAGGCACCGGCCCCTCTAGAAAGAGGGGGTGTCTCCAAAGCTCAGCCGCTCGGGAAGAGTATTAGGAAACAGGGCGCTCGGGTGCCAGGGTGTGAGGGTTTCCACATCCCCAAAAGGCAAAGAGAAGACCTAGGGCCAGGCTTGTGCCCAGAGGTTCCTGGATGCAACCGGCAAGGCAGCCGAGGCTGGTTTTGTCAGATGGGCCAGAGGCTCATCAACATCGATAAAAAGCCTGCGACGCCTCTCAACTGCCTCCAGGCAGCATCATCAACCGCTTCCATGCCCCTGTCCAGTGTCCGCTCTCAGAATCGGGGGTTTCCGGCGACGTGGCCCCAGCAGGTGGGCAAGCGGGAGGGTCCTGGGGCTCAGCACAAGGCCCAGGCTGCCCTTAGCGCCCGGGGCCCCATCACGGACACGCGCAGCCGGGTTAGAGCGGAGAGAAGCCGTCGGGAGGGACACGGGCGGGACCGGCAGGGACTGCGGGCGTGCCCGGGCCTACCTGGTGCGCCAGGATGTAGATGTTGTGGCCCACGTTCCGGGGCGAGGCGCCGTCCTCACCGCCCTCGCCGCCCTCCTCGTCCTCGCCGTCCTCGCCACCCTCGCCCTCCGCCTCCCCCTGCATGTAGGCCTTCTTGATCACCTCCACCTGCGGGACAGGGCGGACGGCGGGCGCGGACCCGAGTCAGGGAGCCCGCGGGGCACGGCCACGGCCCCTTCCTGCTCGGGCTCAGCATCACCCACCTGCCCCACCGACTGGGCAAGGTGGGCGCCTGCTCTGCGGGGCCAGGAGACGCCCGGGGCTGGCGCACGCCCTCGACTAGAAGGGGACCACGGCTGCCAAAGTGACTCCGAACGAGAAAATGGGACACAAACGGGGCCAGAAGGCAGGCGTCTCCCACCTCCACACTCCCTCGGGTGGCTCTGCATCCCCACCCGCGCCGTCTCAGAAAGGACGAACGGGGCGGCCAATGTCCGCCAAGCGAGCCTGTCACTCCCGAAGCCGCCATTCAGAGTAAGGACCTGCCCTCACCCCCTACACTGTCCCGAAAACGGACCATTTTCTTTGATGACTCAGAAGGCCTGGAGCCTCCTGCATGGACACAGGACATTAAACGTTTCTCAGGGTCCACAGCCAAGCCCGTGGACACACCTCTGCCGACACCCGCTCAGTGGACACGGGGCCCTTGCTCTCCCGTCCGCTCTGACGCCAAACTGAACAAACGAGCTGCACAGGACGTGGAGGCCAGATGCATACACACACGTGCACACATCCACATACACACACACATGCACACACGTGTACACATGTGTTCTGGATATCAGAGCTCCCCTGTGATGTAGGGTCTCAGAACTGGGTTTGTTCCCGAAAGCCTGTGACTCTCCCCCAGCCGGGAACGGGGCCATTTACCCACAAGGGGGCGACCCAGGTGCCCACGGCACCCACAGCCCCAGGCTGTGAAGTCTCCCCCCAGATGGGGGTTTGCTCTAGAGTCACAGGAGCTGGAATGGGATCTCTTCGAAGTCACTGGTCCCTGCTCGAGAGTGACAAGCCCTAGCCTGGCCCCGCCCCCCGCAGTTACATAAGCTGTTATGTAAGCCCAAGGACGTCCCTTCGGGTGACCCCGAGATCAATGAGCCCCCAGAGCGGGGCTCGCTGGGAGCCTGATTTAAAGGAGGGCACGAAGGGACTTCGGCCTCGCCCCGAGGGCACTCCAGGGCACGGCGGCAGGAGGGGCTCAGTGCCCTTGTTCAGTCTGTCGGTTACACTTTATCTGTGTGGGAAAAGTCCAAACGGAGTCTCGTCCTCAGCTCGCGACACCGTCTGAGAGCTACAGGGGTCACCGGCGGCAGCGCCAGCTCCTGCCCTGAGAGTCGCAGCCCACCGTGGACATCACCCCTTGGAAATAATGAGGCTTGTGTTTTCTTTTAAAAAACACATAAAACACTAGCACCCCAAGAACACCTTTCTGTTGCCCGGACCACTGGCAGCAAGAAGAGCGCCTCGGGCTCTGAGCTCAGGGCCGAGACAGGACAGGGAGGGTGGCAGCCGAGGAGGAAGGGGAACAGGAGCGGCGCCCGCTGCTAAGGGCGGCCGGTGTCCTGGGCACTGTCCCGTCTGGTGCCCAGAACAGCCGGCCCACTAGGTGACACTACCCTGTCCCCCGTCGGGATGGGGGAAGCGCGGCCCTGAGGGCCGAGGGCCCGCCTGAGGGAGCCCAGCACCGGCAGAGGCCCCGGACCAGCCTGCAGTCTCCCGAGGGTGGGGCAGGGCGCTCTCGCCACCCCAAGGGGAGGGCCCGTATCCCCTCCCCGGCGGCGCTTTGCCTCCACCAGCGGAGGCCTGAACCCGCTCTCTTCCTACTCCTGGCCCGGGCACCCCGCGGAGGCTCCGGAGGCCCCCCGCTGCCACGGCCGGGCCACTCACCAGCTCCTTGGGCCGCATGTTGTAGAGGATGCGCTCGGCGTTCTCGCTGTCGTGCCTGCTCTCCATGATGGCCAGCAGCAGCTTCGAGGCGTTGTTCTAGAGGGGAAACAGGCGGGAGGGCGTGGAGAGGGGCAGCCAGGGGCCCAGCACGTGAAAGGCACCTGGGCCGGACGGACAAGGGGCTGCCCCCCCCCCCC